GGGGACAATACAAAATATAAGTCAATCCTATCACACAGTAGTCAATCAATTCAGTCTCGGGGGTGACTACCTCTACCGCCTAACACACACAGGATGGACTATGAAATGGATGCCCGGATAGAGCACGCAAATTGGAAATAAAGCTCTCACAGATCACTCCAGGGCGCGACACCCCAGTCCCTGCCGACTTTGCCTTGGTACCTTTGAGTCCCCACTACACCAGTGCTCGCAACACCAGTGAGGCCTTGAAACGTCCTCCGTTTTAAGATCGCACGAAGGCGGATCCCACGTATAGGCTCATGAAGACGTCAATGTCAGGGGGAATTCCCAGCCCGAAGAAAGACGTCCGCGTGTTCTCGGGAAATTGGTTTCTGTTTGATCTTACGTTTGGCTAGCTATCTGTTTCACTTCACTGACTTCTAATAAAGGTTTCACTATGCTTGACTTGTCTTGGATATGCTTCGACCTTGTGCACGGGACTTCGATCTTCTTGCACTGAGCTTGGGTATGCTTGACTTGGCTTGGTTATCGGGCACCTTGTCGACGTCAACGTTCCTTCGGCAACACTCATCATCTGGCGACAGGGGTACGTGGGTACGGCGTCTCATCAAATCCGCACTGGGCCTCTACGTCTAATCACGTGAGCCATCCTGTGTCGCTTGACGTTCTTGGTCAATCCGGTCCTGGATTGCTGCTACACACACAGCAGTACTGGACTTGTTGTTGGTGCGGTCACGATCCAGTATGGGCACCAGGGGTCAGACCGAATTGATCATCCGGTCCGGCCTCATTCAGTACGGCACCTTGGCCTCCGGTGCGTCGCTACCGGGTGCACCACGATCCAGTCCGGCAAACAGTGTACTTTGTCCAGCGAGGTCTTGGGCGCATGGGAGCAAGGTGGGCATGGTGAACTTGGGGGTTGGTCCGATGTCTTGACGGAGCCAATGCAGGCAGCAGCCAGGATACTTTCACTGGCTGCACTTGCGCGCCTTAGGCTTATCCTGCGGTCAGGGAAGTCGGCGGACGGACAGGTTGTGTTACTCCACACCGAATATGAGCGC